TATATATATATATATATACACACAATAATATATATATAATGATATGATATTAATGATATATATAATGATATGATATTAATGATATCTGTGTGTATCTGCCAGCCGCCACTGACAGAATGTCCAGATTTGGGCCAGAAGCCTGTCAGGCTGCTGGGTATAAACACATGGGACGTGGCTGTGGCTCTTACAAACTTCGACTGGAACCTCTTCAACTCAATCCACGAGGTGAAGCTTCTCAGATACACAGTGTTTATCTCGCATACAAATCTTGTGTGTAACACTACATTAGTGTCAGCTGATCAATTTAATGCATCCATGCAATAAAATCAAGAATATGTGATTCAAGTAAGGGATAATGTAGATCCAGCCGGTTGATCAGAGCAGCGTATGGACACATCTGATGTTGTTTTTTTTCCCTCTGTCTCTGTCTTACAGCAAGAGCTGATCTTCTACACGTTCAGCCGTCAGGCGAGCAGTGGCCACACGGTGGCACTGGAGTTCCTGCTGCAGCGCTGTAATGAGGTGCAGCAGTGGGTGATGTCTGAGGTGCTGCTCTGCCCGTCGCTCAGCAAACGAGTGCAACTGCTCAAAAAGTTCATCAAGATCGCTGCTCAGTGAGTTTCTCGGTGCTTTACAGATGGGATATATCGCCCTACGAAGGGCACTTCGATGTAAACACAATCCTGGACGCTATATTGAAGTGTAGTTCAAAACTGACCCCTTTGAAGGGCCCTTTGAAATGAAAGGTTTTTAAAAATACAACTGATGGACACTTCGGGGCATGTTCATTTGAGCAGTGAAGTTGTTCAATAGTATCTGGATGCAGCCTTCATGACGCAAGCTGAGATGCAATGTCAGACACGATGCACTCAATGGAGTGAGTGACGCCACTGTGACGGGCGGGGTTAGGTGAGCGCATTAAAAAGCATTGGATGCAGCTCAGATTGCACTGCACCAGGTCTGCATCCAGACCCCTCTCAAGTTGTTTGGTGTGACACACTGTACTCAACTCAGAAGAGCTCATTTCTGTGCTGTAAATCCCTTCAGAGGGACCCTCCGAAGGGATTAGGGCTTAGGGATGAGTCCTTCAGATTGGAACCCGGTGTGAATCAGTAGAAATACATGTAGGATTTCTGTCAATCCAGACAGTTTTAGTTACAGATTATTTGACAGATGTAAGAGAAAAATAAGCAATATACAGTTCAGCTTTGATCAAAAGTACTGTTTTGTTTAGATAAATACCGATGAGGCTTAACAAAAATACTATTAAATAGTGTATAAAATGTAAAATGCTTTATTATTGAAAAATACATAATAATGTACTGTACTATAGTGATAGAAATAAAATAATAAATAAAATAATATGAATATATTTTATTTAAAAAATTATTATGTTAGTTTATATTTCATTATAATGTAATAACGCTTTTTTATTTAACATTAAATATTAAAATGTAATAATGCAATTTGTGACAGATATTGATTGTTTAGTAATGCTTTTACCAGGGCTTCATTTATATACTGTAAAACTTTATGCAATTTATATATATATATCAATTAAGTGTTTATTCTAAATTTTTCAGGGAAGTTTATTTAGGAATTAAAAATATGTTAAATAAGATAATATTATATAGTTAATATATATTATAGTTTATATTTGTATTAAAATATTGTAAAATGTAGTATTAGAATGATAGAGAATGTTTTTCACTGGTTTTTGTTTCCTAAAAAAATAACAATAAAACCCAATTTTATTAAAACATATTATTATTATTATTATTATTATTATTATTATTATTATTATTATATTAGAATTATATTATTATTATCATTATTATTATTATCATTATTATATTAGAATTATTATTATTATTATTATTATTATTATTATATTAGAATTATTATATTATTATTATTATTATTATTATTATTATTATCATTATTATATTAGAATTATTATTATATTATACATATTATTATTATTATTATATTAGAATTATTATTATTATTATTATAAAATTATTATTATTATTATTATTATTATAGAATTTTGCTGTAATTGTTGTTATTGCAAAGCTCACAAAACAATCACACATACAGTTGAAGTCAGAATTATTAGCCCCCCTTAATTATTAACCCCCTTTTATTTTTTTCCCCAATTTCTGTTTTACAGAGAGCAGATTTTTTCAACACATTTCTAAACATGATAGTTTTAATAACTCATCTCTAATAACTGATTTATTTTATCTTTGTCATGATGACAGTAAATAATATTTGACTAGATATTTTTCAAGACACTTCTATACAGCTTAAAGTGACATTTAAAGGCTTAACTAGGTTAATTAGGTTAACTAGGCAGGTTAGGGTAATTAGGCAAGCAATTGTATAATTACTGTATATTTATTATAATTATTGTATAATTGTATTGCTGGTTTGTTCTCTAGACTTTCAACAAAAATATATAGCTTAACATTTTGACCTTAAAATAGGTTTTAAAAAAATTAAAAACTGCTTTTATTCTAGCCGAAATAAAACAATTAAGACTTTCTCCAGAAGAAAACATATTATCAGACATACTGTGAAAATTTACTTGCTCTGTTAAACATCATTTAAGAAATATTTTAAAAAGAAAACAAAAGATGGGCTTCAAAGATGGGCTAATAATTCTGACCTCAACTGTGTTTTCAGTTGAATTTAATTCCATAAACCTTACAGAATGAATAAGTGAACGGTCTGTGTGTGGGTTAATATCAGCCAGCGAGGGTCTGCAGCTAACATCGCGTGATGTAATGCTTTATTCATCAGGTTAATTAGCGTGTGGGTGTTTTAACTCTCCGTGAGTCACGACTGTGTTTGTGTTTCAGCTGTAAAGCACAGAGGAACCTCAACTCCTCGTTCGCCATCATCATGGGCTTAAACACAGCCGCCGTCAGCCGACTCAACCAGACATGGGAGGTAATAAAAAAAAAACACTGCGCTGATCATAACAATGGCATTTAACATAACACCTCAATGCCACTTCAGAAATCAGTCTAATATTAATTTCTGATTATCAATGGTGAAAGCTTGAAGGTCATACAGGTTAAAATAACCCAGAATCAATTTTTAAGGAAGTACATAATCAGCCTAAGTTCAAAACCATATCCTTGGGCCTGTCACAATAATCAATAAATCGACTTATCGTGCAATGCGTGGACATGATTTTAATAATTTTGGTGTTGTAATTAACATTTAACAATTCACAAATAACATTTAAGCCTTTTTACAGTTATATTTACATTCAACTTCACTCGTTTCAAGGTTTATAATTGGTCCAAGCTCTTTCAAGGTATACAAAAACTTCCAGCCAGGTGTGTTGAAGCAAGTTAGAGCTAAACTGTGCAGGACACCGGCCCCCCAGTTTGGGCACCCCTGCTTCCCTGCTGAAAAATCCAGCTTAACCCTGCCTAGGCTGGTTGGATGGTTTTAGCTGGTCGACCAGGCTGGTTTTAGAAGGGTTTTGGCCATTTCCAGGCTGGTTTCCAGGCATTTCCAGCCTGGTCTTAGCTGGTCAGGCTGGAATATTACCAGCTAAAACCAACTTGACCAGCCTAGCCAAGCTGGGAGTCCAGCCAAAACCAGCTATATCCAGCTTAAACCAGGCTGGTCAAGCTGGTTTTAGCTGGATTTCGCTGGTCATTTTCCATTGGAAATGGCTGAAAACCAGCCTGGAATGTATTCGAATGTAGTATTAGAATAATAGAGAATGGTTTTCACAGGTTTTTGTTTCCAAAAAATAAAAAAATAAATAACAATAAAACCTAATTTTATTAAAACATATTTTTATTATTATTATTATTATTATTATTTGTTATTATTATATTATAATTATATTATTATTATTATTATTGTATTAGAATTATTATTATTATTATTATTATTATTATATTAGAAGCATTATTATTATTATTATTATTATTATTATTATTATATTAGTAGCATTATTATTATTATTGTTGTTGTTTTAGAATTATTATTATTATTATTATTATTATATTAGAAGCATTATTATTATTATTGTTATATTAGAAGCATTATTATTATTATTATTATTATTATATTAGAATTATTATTAATATATAGCTGAAACCAGGCTGGTCAAGCTGGTTTTAGCTGGATTTTGCTGGTAATTTTCCATTGGAAATGGCTGGAAACCAGCCTGGAAGTGGCCAAAACCCCTCTAAAACCAGGCTGGTCGACCAGCTAAAACCAGCCAACCAGCCTAGGCTGGTTTAAGCTGGATTCTTCAGCAGGGTTTATATGTATTTTGAATAGTGTGGCAATTAAAGATGAGATTATAGACAAATCTCCAGGTAAAGCTAATACACACTTCTGCCTCTTTCCTGCAGAAAGTTCCTGGAAAGTTCAAGAAGCTTTTCTCTGAGCTCGAGCTGTTGACAGTAAGTGATGTACAACACATACAGATAGGGCTCGTTTTGATTGCATCTCCACTTTTGTGCCGCTAGAGGTCAGTAATGTTAAGAGAATCGTCTGACTGTTCTCTTCCTCAGGATCCATCCATGAACCACAAAGCCTACAGAGACGCTTTCAAGAAAATGAAGCCGCCCAAAATACCCTTCATGCCGCTGCTGCTCAAAGGTGAACACACACTTCCTGTCACCTGACCATATAAAGGGAATTATTTGGGTTACTGAAGTAAAATCTCCATTTTCTTTGTAAGGAAGTAACTGATAAACCTTTGAGGATGCTCATGTCGAGAGCTCTATTTATGTAATTTGTTTATATTTATTTGACTAATTATTATTGTTGTTGTTGTTTTAGTAACACTTTAAAATAATCATCCATTATGTATTCACTAACATGAACAAACTATTAGTAATATGTTTATTACGGTATTTATTCATCTTTGTTATGGTTAGTTGATGTTATTTAGGTTAAATAATGTTAGTTCATGTTAACTCAGTGCATTAATTAATGTTAACAAGCACAACTTTGTATTTTAATAATGCATTAGTTAATGTTGAACTACAATTATTAAATACTTTACAAGATTATTGATACTTAATTAGTAAATATATTAACTAATATACCATTATTAACTATTAAATATATACCATTACCATTAAAATATATACCATTAAAAACTACATTACCCATAATGCTGTGCAGAAAATTTCACAAATGAGAGTTGGGCAAAGTGGCAAAATGTTTTAAGCGCAAATTAACATGAAATATATTGCATCAATTTTAATGAATAATTTAAACCTAAATCCACTGTTTTGAATCTTGTTCTCTAATTTTATTACTTTTCTGCTTGAAAAAAGGTTATGTTGTGAATTTCTTGGTGGGTTTTGGTCTTTAAATTTAAATAAAAAAAGTGATTTCTGCTGTTTTTCAGACATCACCTTCATCCACGAGGGGAACAAAACATTTCACGATAACCTGGTGAACTTTGAGAAGCTGGTGAGTGTTTTTAGAGAGTGTCTTCAGCCTTTACTCTTCAGATGAGTTACTGATTAATGTGTGTGTTTTCAGCACATGATCGCAGACACGGTCCGACTCATTCGCCACTGTCAGATGGATCAGACAGGTCAGTCTCTCCTTATAACAGATGTCATATTAATATCAGATGCTCTTTGGTTCATTTTGTGGAGGAATTTTTGTTACTCTAACATTTTTGTCATTATGTGTTAAGTTACTATTTATTAATCCCTAATTGTGCAAGGAAATATGTATGGTAACTTGATTTACATTGATAATAAAATATATATAATTTATCAAAAAAAAAAAAAAAAAAAAAAAAAAAAAAAATATATATATATATATATATATATATATATAT